TTTTTGTCTTTTCCTCTACACAAGTCTCTACCTTCTTCATGATGTTTTTCATAAGGCTGTTTTCTTCTGCTTCTTCCAATTTTTGATGTTCAGGTCTAGATATTGCAGAAGAACTAGGTTCTGGTGATGCTGTATTGCTCTTCATTTTGTTGTATGTACTTCTGCCTTGACATATGCCCATCTCCTTGTGGTTCGTTCTTGGTCTTAACAGCGCACTTGGTTCAGACAGAGCTGACAGATTCAGGAAGTCTCTCTCTCTTGTCCAGATGGGACAAGAGCTCTCTTATCCAAATGGGAACTCGGGTACAGGATGGAAGCTCTTATCTAGACGGGAAGTCCGGGGCAGGATGGAAGCTCTTATCTGGACAGGAAGTCTGAGGCAGGATGGGAGCTTTTGTCCAGACAGGAAGTCCGGTGAAGGATGGGTGCTCTTGTCCAGAAGGGAAGTCCAGGGCAGGATGTGTGCACTCTTGTCCAGAAGGGAAGTCCAGGGCAGGATGGGAGCCCTCTCTGTTCCAGGAGGGAAGTCCAGGGCAGGATGGGAGCTGGGGCCTGGGCTCTAAGTCTCAGGAAGTGGCTAGGGTCTTCGGCAGATGGGCATGGCATGGAGATTGCAGGGCTGCCGGCTGGGTTGGAGAAGGGGATTCTTCCTGGTGGAGCTAGAAGGGGACCTCCCCAGTACCTAGAACCTGGGGCCAAGTTGGGCATGTCTTCCCTGGAGTGGCTGGTGGCCAGGGATGGGGTCCGGGCTGGACCTGGATACACACGTCTGGTCCAGAAGGGAAGTAAGGAGCAGGATGGGTGCTGGGGGCCGGTCTCTAAGTCTCAGGAAGTGGCTGGGGTGTCAGGCAGATGGGCATGGGGGCAGGTCGTGGAGATTGCAGGGGTTGCCGGGGGCTTGGAGAGGGGATCCTTCCCAGTGAGGCTAGGAGGGGACCTGCCCGGTGGCCAGAACCTGGAGCCAAGTAGAGCAGGTCTTCCCCAGAGTGGCTGGTGCCCTGGGATGGGGTCCGGGCTGGGCCTGGATCCTCACCTCAGTTCCAGAAGGGAAGTCAGGGGCAGGATGGGGCAAGTATCTGCATCTTCTTATCTCGTTAGCCACAAGACATTATTGACTTAATTCTAACTGAAAAATACACTTGTTAAACAACTTCTTGGTAAGGAGTCTACAGTAGGAAACATCTGGGCAGAGTTATGCTAGAAGAAGAGACTGATACAGCCTAGGAACAAGTACCCAGAGGAGTATGATATGGTCATGGAGCACAGTGTGACTAAAATCTGTGTCATAAGGATGTGTGTAATTGCTGTTGTACTCTCCTTTGAGTAGCTCAAAGTGGTCTGCTGTTACTGGTTAGTAAAGGTGGCCAGACAGATGGAGTCCTCCACACAACATGAGTTTCCTATAGAGCAAAGGATATTCAGGAAAATCCTTTGCAAGCCCATTCATATTTACACACATAGACACTAGGGTTCCACTGGACAGTCTAGATCAATGGTTCTTAATTTTTCCAATTCTATCACCCTTTAAATAGCACTAACAATAGTTACTCATGTTGCGGTGAAAAATAAACATAATTGTTTCATTATTTCTTAACTTTAATTTTGCCACTGTTATGAATCATAATTCAAATATTTGATTGCAGGATATCTGCTATGCAACCCCCAATGGGGTTGAGGACCACAGCTCTGAATGCAGGTAGAAATCTCCTCAAATCTTGGCAGTGATGCTGGGGCATTGTGATTCTTAGTTTTTATTATCAGACTGAATCAAACCAGTCACCTGGGAAGAGGGCCCCTCAATGAGGAATTATATAGATCAGCTTTACTTTGAACATGTCTCTGTGGTATTTTATTAATTGTTAATTTAGATAAGACTCCATAAAATGGGCAGAATCATTTCATTGTCTGTAACCTATACTGTGTAAGTATGAAGAACTTCAAGCATAAGCATAAACAAAGAGGTAGCATGGGTCATTTATTTATTTCTGCTCTTGGCTGTGGATGTGATATGATTAGCTGAGTTCCTACCTTGATTTCCAAAAAATGGAACTATACCTGGAATTGTGGCCTATGATATATTTTTCATATTCTAAGTTGCTGTGCTTGATAACTCAGTGTAATAAAGATGTTAAATATTCACTCTATGACAGAGGAGTTTTCACAAGTCAGTGAGATGTGTATTTTATGTAGTGCTCAACAGCACCATATCTGTCTCAGAAGAAGAGATCCTACTTCCTCTTGAACCTAACGTGTGTTTTCCTTTCAGAGTTTTCCAAAGACACAGAGACACCCATAGACCCACAAACCACATCACCCTGTCAACAAATGTCCCCTGATATTGTCTTGCCATATCAAATACTATGCTAAATTCTTCTAATGTGTTATATACAACAAGCTTCACTTCAATGAATGAATTTTTCTTTGAATTTCCTGACCATTAAAATTTTCAGATATTGGGAATTGGATCTGAATTCACTGCCTTGACTATGAATTTAAATTTTATGCTATGTCCTTCCTTGAAGGTCAGAAGAAACTGCTTCAACCTGAGAGCAAATTAGCACCTTAAATTCCAGGTATGCAGGGGTATAAGTAATGACTGGCAACGTGTCCACTAGTTACCTTAGGTTGGAGATTATCTCCAGGCCTGATGTACAAACATCCTTGTGAGGACTTCTCAGTTTCCCTCTAACTTCTGTGCCTCTTCATTAAGGTTACTGTAAATAGATCTTATACAAATTTCCTCCTTCCAAAGTAACTAGACATTATCAGATGGGAAAAGTCACTTTGATTTATTTCCTTCTCCTCTTAGGACATGAAATAGGCCCTTTTGAGCTACATGAAAGGCTATTCAAGGAGAATGCGGTCTTAAATAACCACAGGTACAGTTTTAGAATGCAGTTCTGAGGAACAGAGTGCAAAACAAGGGCAGGATAGCAGGCACACCCAGGAGATTCTTGTTTATGTCTTTGGCAGTTTAGCCTCTCTGCATGTCAGTTTCTTCTACCTAGAGAAAGATGGGTTGGGATGCACCATGGAGATGGGTGTTGTCATAAGCCATGTCTTATAAAATCATTTCCTTCATAAGTGGGACTTTGTTTGTTTGTTCGTTTGTTTGCATTTTTTTTGGTGGGAGTGATGAGCTAACATTTATATGAGCTAAGCTGCACATCTCTTTCAGGTGAACATCTCTTTCTGGGAAGAGAGGAATCAGATGCTGACCTTACCAAAAATGCTGAAAATGATGCTTTAGAGCAGAGATTCACTTCACTTGGCTGAAAAAAAATTAACACTTCTCTTCATGACTGTTACCAAATATTGTGTGTCGATCCTGTTCTTTTACGATTTGCAAAGACTCACCAGCTAGCTATTCTTTGTTTATTAGCCAATTTAAGATCCAAAAAGCAAAGAAGATGAAGAGGGAAGTCAGAAATCATCATGTTTGATCCTAAATATAGAGTTGTGTTTGCCTGTTCCAATCTCAGAATTCTAATCCTTATCTGGCTAATCTAACAACAAATAAATGCCAACTGTGCACATTGGTGTTTTTTAATAAAAGCACATAAACGATTTTGGTGTTTTATTAGAACTCATGTAGTATATATTGAGTCCATCTATTAATATTTTCTTCTCTGTCTTGCTATTCTTATTTGGAAGGTTTGCGTGTTTGAGTGGAAGTGAACTGCCCATTTAAAATGGGGGGAAATTTTTTTTTTAAATAATCTATTGTAACAGAATATATTTGGGAGTTGTTAAATTTCTCCCATTGAATAAATCAGAATTAAGAGTATCCTGTTAAATGCTGGGGGCAGAAATCAGAGTCAGCAGAGCTTGCAAAACAGACTTTTTTAGCACTTTAGTGAGAGAAGCATTTTATTTTTTAAAATTTTATAATTAATTTAATTTTATATATTAGCTAGAGATTCCCTGGTCCTCCCTCTTCTGACTCCCCTGACCTCTCGCCAATCTACCTCCCATTCCCATCTCCTCCAGGGCAAGAGCTCCCCTGGGGATTCATCTCAGCCTGGTAGATTCAGTCAAGGCAGGTCCAGTCCCCTCCTCTCTACACCAAGGCTGAGCAAAGGGTCCCAGCATAGGCCCTTGGTTCCAAAAAGCCAGCTCGTGCACTAAGGACAGGTCCTGGTCATAGTGCCTGGGGGCCTCCTAAATAGTTCAAGATACTCAACTGTCTCACTTATCCAGAGGGCGTGATCCAGTTCCATGGGGGCTCCTCAGCTATTGGTTCACAGTTCATGTGTTTCCACTAGTTTTGCTATTTGTCCCTGTGCTTTTTCTAATCCCAGTCTCAATATCTCTTACTCATATAATCCCTCCTCTATCTCACTGATTGGATTCCTGGAGCTCCACCTGGGGCTTGGCTGTGGATCTCTGCACATACTTCAATCATTCACTGGATGAGAGTTCTATCATGACAATTAGGGTGTTCAGCCATCCAATCATCAGAATGGGTCAGCTCAGGTACTCTCTCAACCTTTGCCAGTAGTCTATAGTGGAGGTATCTTTGTGGATTTCTTGGGACCTCTCTAGCACTCTGCTTCTTTCTATTCCCCTTGGGTCTTCTTTCATCTTTGTATTTCTTTCCTTTTTCTCCCACTCTATTCTAGTCCATCTTAGACCTCCTGCTCCCCTAATTTCTCTTTACATTTACTCTTGCACTCTATTAACCACCTCACCCCCAGTTTGCTCATGAAGATCACATCCATTTCTTTGTCACTGGGTGATACCTATGTCTTTGTTAGGGTCCTCATTACTAGGTAGCCTCCTTGGAGTTGTCAGTTGCAGTCTAGTTGTCCTTTGCTTTATTTATATTTAGTATCCACTTATGAATGAGTACATACCATGTTTGTCTTTCTGAGTCTGGGTTACTTCACTCAGTATGATATTTTCTAGTTCCACCCATTTGCCTGCAAACCTCATGTCATTGTTTTTCTCTGCTGAGTAGTACTCCATCGTATATATGTAACATATTTTCTTTATCCATTTCTTCAGTTGAAGGGCATCTAGGTTGTTTCCAGGTTCTGGCTGTTATAAATAATGCTGCTATCAACCTAGTTGAGCATGTGTCCTTGTGGTATGATTGAGCACTCCTTGGATATATGCCCAAGCATGGTATAGCTGGGTCTTGAGAGAGGATGATTCACAATTTTCTAAGAAATCATTCTTATATTAAATTCACCAGAATGATTTTTATTCTTTTTGAAATCCTTGTGCCTTCTTACATGATGTTCCCTGAGCCTTGTGTGTATTGATTGGAACAAGCCAGGCATGTTTGCATGTTTCTTTAATTTTATCACCATGAAAGGACAAAGTGCAGAGAGTTTTATTGAAATGACCCACAAATCATAATTTTTATACAATATGGATGACAGGTTCTTAAAAAGGAAGACATGCCATCTCTCCAAAAAGTCATGTACTTAAGAATATTATTGAAGCTGATTTCATTGGCACAGGCATGATTAATACACAAATGAATGCTCTCTCCCTCCCTGACACACATGCACACATGTCCACACTCACAAAACATCTGTGAACATAAAAGTAAAAAATATGTATGATGTAAAACAATATGCTCGTCACATTGACTGATCTAACTGGGACACAGATACCAATGTGCAGCTGGATTTCATATTTAATTAATTACTTGATGCATCCCCCATCAGAAGTAAGTCATTCTTTCTTGTCCGCAAAACCAAGGACAGAAGTTAATGATAGAATATTCATGTCGCTGCTTCTCAGTTTTCATCTCCTTAAGAAAGTCTCAGTCGCTCAGTGTTTACAGAGAGAATAGACATTAAAACACATTTCATGTCTGTCTCTTAGTGTATCACACTCAATAGAAAGTGTGGTTATTTTCAAAAGTTTTATTGATTTTTCTTTTTATTCTTTCTTTCTTTTCTTTTTTTTCTTTTTCTTTTTCTTTTTCTTTTTTGCTCAAAGCATCCTGTTTGGCTGGCAGTCCAGGATGTAGGTTGACATGGTTATATTTTTTCCAATGTCACGTCCCTCAGGGAATGTTAGAATGACATGGACTGTTAGCAACAGTGTGATGAAACACACTATATTACTTTGAAAGATGAGATGAGACTCTACTCTGAGGTTCTCTGCAGTGTCATAGAGAATGAAGATCAAATTCCTCTTTTTTAATTGCTGATTTATGTCATGATGTGGGGAGAAAGGGAATTCTTAAACTCAAACCAACAGCTTACTATAGTTATTTGGATAACTGGACCCAATATTGAATATTTCAATGGGAGAAATTCTACCCTGATGGAGAAGATTGTCTACAGAAGCAAATTTTTTAATGAGTAGAGCAATTATATATATTTATTTTGTGTTATATATTTTAATTTATAATACAT